TCTGTGAGGAATTCTAATGTGACCCTCAGCCAAAAGTCGTTTGTATTGCAGTCCGACACAACGTATTTTTTTTCCGGTTTTTTTTTTTTTTTTTTTTTTTTGTGCTTGGGCTGCCCGGAACCCTGTCAGGGGGTCATGCCCGCCCGGGCACCCGGGCGGGTACCTGGGCATAAGTTGGGTGCCCGGGCGCCTGCAAACTCAGCCTAGGTAAATAGTATATTCCTAGGTTACCGGGGCGGACGGACGTGTGGGACTCCCCAGTTGTCCGAGTTATCCGGTTGGACCATGATAACTCATCCGCCCCGTGAGAAAAATTTGGGGGCGGACAGTTTTTGCCAGTTTCGGGGCCTGGATGTGATCGGGAGGTCACGGGGTGGCGGCCCATGCCCGGGACACATTTTTTTGGAGGCCGGTAGTACAAAGCGAAATGACAGGCCCGAGCAATAGAGAAATCACAGAATTCCAAATTGCAAGATCACATCGAAGGACATATAGTTGTAACCCGTCCAGATGGTAGAAATGCGCCAAAGTCGTACCAAAGGAGAACCAAAGCAGCGACTCAATTGTCAATGAAAGCCCTCCCTACTGGCGCTCAGCGCCCAGACTATGATCACGCAGCTCCTAGACTAGTCTACTCTAAAGACGACGTAACCAGACAGATGTCGCCCATGCAGACCTCTGCGACGACCAGGTAAGTGCCCTCTCGTCTTCTCCTGCACTCTACATATCTTTGCTCACCCTAGTCCCATGCAGACCTCTGCGACGACCATGTAAGTGCCCTCTCGTCTTCTCCAGCACTCTACATATCTTTGCTCACCCGAGTCTTCACCTACAGCTTCTTCTCCACTTGCCGGCGACTACCACCACAACACCGCTGGCCCATGGCCGGCCTTAGGGCCGCAGGATGCGATTTAAGGCAGCATTCATTTATTTATTTATTTATATATTTTTGCTGTCCTATTTTTGTCTGTTCAAGCGCCGTTTCGGACTCGCAGTTCGTCCAAACACACTTTTGACAAAGGCTGCATTTTGGGCCTTGCACGGTCCCAGGCAGACCCTTTTCGGGCCAGGTCCGTTGTTGTCCAGATACAGACACTCCCTGCTGCATCAGCAGGGAGGGCCTGGATGTCCGGTAGGGACCCAGGTACTTTCCAGACTGTATCTGACTGCTATCATGGCCATATCTAACATTCTTTTCTTCTTTTTTTTTCCCCTATATACATTCTTGGGAATGCCCTCATTGAGGAGGGCATACTCACACTACTACTTTCCAGAATGTATCGGATGGATATTATGTCCAAATCCGTCTTTGTTTTTTTGGTTTTGTTACTTTCTAAGATTAGTGCCCTTCGAGCAAGGCAGGACGTATGAGTAAGTAGTGCAGTCAAGCCCAGTTTCTCATTTGCAATCTTTTTTCTTTGGGCCCACCAGCCTTTTCCCTCCTAACCTGCGCCGTGCCTGGTCACTGTTCATCTTGCCACGGTCGCAGTGTACTGACGTTTTGGTGAATAGTAGGGGTCTGTGAACTGGTGGTTTAAGGGCACCCAACTGCCAGACGTGGCCTGAGTTGCTCTCTGCATTGTGATAGGCCGAAAGGCCTGTAGCCACGTCAAGCCTGGAAGAGGCAGAAAGCTCAGGAGAATACAGCTGCTCGCTAGCAGGGCCCATGTAACAAACTGGTGCGGTGCAACTGTCTGGCGCCTAAGAGACCTAAAAAATGGCCAAAAATTCAGGCCCCATGAGAATGTGCAGGCCCGCCTTCTCTTAGGGTGGGCGCAGGGCAAGCAGTGGGGCCCTTTACAGTCATGCCGAGGTCAAGAATGGGCCCAGGTGCTGTATCTGCTGCCGCAGTTGCAGCACTTGCAGTAGCTGCTGCATGTGCAGCATCCGCTGCAGCATCTGTGGCACCTGGTGCAGCAGATGCAGCATTTGAAGCAGCTGCAGATGCAGCAGCATTGCGGCACCTGCGACACCATGTGCTGCAGATGCTGCATATGCAGCAGCAGCTGCACCCGCTGCATCCGCTACAGCGCATGCAGCAGCTACCTGCTGTGTCTGCTGCAGCAGCAGGGGCAAGCATCTGCTGCACATGCAGCGCCTGCTGCAGCAGGTGCAGCATCTGCCGCAGTGTGTGCAGCAGGTGCAGCATCTGCATCATCTGCTGCAGATGCAGCAGCTACTGCACCTGCTGCATCTGCTGCAGCCGATGTTGCAGATGGTCCACATAGAGCAGGTGTTGCACCTGCTGAACTGGCCGCAGCAGGCGCTGCATGTGGAGCAGATGCTGGACCTGCTGCATCTGCATCAGCAGACCCTCCACCCAACCCTTCCACCCCCAAGGAGCTGAAAAACTTTTCACTGGGTCCTTTTTCCCGAAGGAGCTGAAAAACTTTTGACTGGGCCTCCACGCCATGCACAGATCCCCCCCCTTTTTTTCTTCTCCGGAAAACGAGTTGTCCCGAACAACTCCCCTACCGGGGATCCGAGGGAGACGTCCGGCCGAGACATCCGCCGATCAGACATGCAGTAACCCCCCCCTTTTTTTCTTCTCCGGAAAACGAGTTGTCCCGAACAACTCCCCTACCGGGGATCCGAGGGAGACGTCCGGCCGAGACATCCGCCGATTGGACATGCAGTAACCTAGATGCCAGATGTCTGACATGTAGTTCTTATCTTGAATTTAGAAGATAAAAACTAGGTGGTGCTTTCGCATCTGGGCTGGACATCAGCTCCATATAATCCGCAGGCCAGATTTTGCCGCTGCGTGGAATATTATTTTTTTTCCCCCTTTTTTTTAAGGGTGACGCCACGATGGCGTTAAGAGGTAGAAAGCGTATGCTTGCAGGGGTCCCCTCTATAGCCTTAGGAGTAATGGTAGATAGGTAGTGAAAGAAAGATATGTTCCATGACATGGCAGAACACCAGTTACAAATATGTGAGGTGAGAGAATAATATAAGGATGTCCTCCGCCGAGGACAAAGCAGCATTTTCAAAAAAAGAAAAAAAAGTTAAAAACACACCTGACTGGCCCTAGGGAATTCACTGTTCAGGATTCTAGTATTTCTCTGATTTGCTTCCTGTCCTGTTTGAACTCAGGTCTGTATTTCAAAGAGTTCAGGTGTGTACCAACTGAGCTAACAAACTGTTAAAATCGTTTCAAAAGGAAACAAAAATGGCATGCCGCACATGTCAAATACAGCACAAGTATGTCCCTATTTTTCATGAAAAGCATGTAGGGAGTTACAACTTAAAAACGACAACTACATTTCCCAGCTTCCCTGTTCCCACAGGGCGTGTTAAATGGTAGAAAATCATGAAATCATGGACCGGCTATAAATCCGGTCGGAGGGGTTTACAGGGAGGACGTTGATTTGATTTTTCTGTTTCATTTCGTCTTTAATTCTTTCAGGAAAGGAATTTGGAGGTGACCTTAGGCCAAAAGTCTCAAGGCCACCCTACACAGCGTAATTTTTCTTTCAGATTTTTTAATCACTTCTTATTCTTTCTTCTTAAAACATCACTACCTCCTACCCTGTTTTTGACGAACCTGAATTTCACTGTGCAGTGCACACCGAGTTTTGTCGAGCCTGGGTCCCATCGTTATTTCTTTTCTGGTACTCACGGCAGTGACATCTGAAAAAGAACCAAGAAAATGAAATAAAGAAAAAAGAACAAAAAAAAGGAAGAAACTTCCCTTAGGTCGTGATAGCCATCAGATACATTCTCTGAGGTGCTGTTGGGACTGTGTCCTCAGCGAGGACATGCATCCCATGGAAAACATAGGAAGAGAAAAACAAAAATCCCTAAGACTGTCATTACAGTCCGATGCAGGACACTACGGTACTGGTGCCCCTTGTGGAATCCGCTCTGGCCCACTGGCAGGGCACGAACAGGACAATAAAGAAAAAATAAAAAAAGAAAAAAATAAGCATGCATGTTCAACACATACTGGCCAGATACATACCTCAAAGCACTGGTGTTTCTTCCATCCCGGTTAGGGCCTTCCACGGACGAAATCAAATGAAGAGCAAGAATTTCAAACAAAAAAATCCCCTTATGTGACAGTGTGAGAAAGACGTGAGCGAGGCAGTTGCCTGCCTTGCGTGGAATCCGCCCTGCCTCACTTGCAGGGCACGAGAAGGAAACCAGAACGACATACACAAAAATGAAAACGTTGCACATTCACGTTCCACACATGGTGACCGGATACATTCCTCAAGGCACTGGTGTGACTTCCACCATAGTGAGGGCCTTTCCCGACGTAGCGGGATTCGAAGCATGGTTTTGCTGGTTTTGCTCTTCTATGCATTTATATGCGCCCCTTTAAATCACCTTTAGCACCCTTCCTACCCTTTGAGACCACCATTGGGGCGCCAACTCACCTTTTCCTTACAAGCTTGGATTTCGGATCCATTCGACGAAGTGTGCCTGCCCGATGAATCGTATAGACAAGGTTACCTGGATATCCAGCTGTGCTGCATAGCATACAAGTGAAAACAAAACAACTTTAATGCATGGTTTTGCTCTACTATGCATTTATGTGCGCCCCTTTAAATCACCTTTAGCACCCTTCCTACCCTTTGAGATCACCATTGGGGCACCAACTCACCTTTTCCTTACAAGCTTGGATTTCGGATCCATTCGACCAAGTGCAACATACTTCTCCCAGACTGAAAATATGTCACCCTGGACGTTTTCTGACCCGTCCAGATTTTCTTGACAGGTGTGTGTGCACGGTTGTCCCGCAGATCAACTGGGATCGATTGGGCCCCCCTGTACAGGCTGGCAACCTAGGTAACATTTCCTTTTTTTTTTTTTTTTTTTTTTAGTTTTTATGTTGAGAATCTGGACCTCTTCTGAATTTATGCGTGTCATCCTTGCACAGTGGCCATGGAAACTTATCGTCTGTGTATCGTTCCAATTTTAACAGATGTCCCAAAGGACGCTAGCAGGTATAACATTTGTCATCGGTTTCAAACTTGTGTTTCTCTGCGTTTGGCAGGATCCCTGGTGGAACCCAGCTGTTGAAGAGCAAGCAATCATGCGCATTCATCGTATAGGGCAAAAGAATGCTGTCAATATTCGACGGTTTATTGTAAAGGTAAGCTTCAAAATTGATCTCAGGCTCTCAGCTTGTTCAAACTCAGATTTTGGTGTATTCCACAAGGGATGTGATAATTGGAAAAAACTATGGTGTATTCCACAAGGGATGCGATTATTGGAAAAAACTATGGTGTATTCCACAAGGGCTGTGCATCCCGGATATCATCAGTTTTGTGGTGCTCCGTATTCCTGAAAGTTCCAACCCCACTACCGCTGTTCAGCATGGAGAGACTACAGTGTAACACCATTGGCCCCTGTTGACTTGTCGCTGATGGGTTGTCATTGGTTGCCAACCGGACGTCCGGATCCCGATCCAGACAGTCCTGTGTCTGGTGTCCGGTTTGGTTGGTGCGGTCGGACGGACCCTCATTTCAAGAAATTCAAAAAAAACAAATTGGGGTCCCCAGGCCATTTTCCTGGGCCTGGGGTACCCCAGAAAATTGTTGCTGTAGGTTTACCGGCCCTGAAGGGGCCGCTGTTGGAGAACTTTGAAGTGCAGGAGCAGCGCTCCCTCTGGTGTAGCAGCGCTCTCCTTGAAGTTCCCGCCCGCTACAGCCACGCCATCGCCAGCTCGAGCTCCTCCATCGCCCTGGAGTCCAGGAGATCGCCGCCGACGAGGAGGTTGCCGTCTTGCCGGTTCAAGATTCGAAGTTCGGAACTTCAAAATTCTTGGGGGCTGGAGCGGGTGTGGAACTGATGCTTGGGGGTGTGGAACTTTGCTCGGTGTGTGTGTGTGTGTGTGTGTGTGTGTGTGTCATGTGTGGCGGTTCAAGATTCGATGTTCCGAACTTTGAAGTTGGTACACAACATCACAAATTCACACCTCATGAAATGAAGCTCCCCTCATGAGATGCAAACCAACACAATATGATAACACTTGAAATTGCTCGAAAATACAAAGTCTTATACACCAAAGTGTCATGCATGTCAGCTCAAATCTCTAAATCTCTCTCTCTCTCTCTCTCTCTCTCTCTCTCTCTCTCTCTCTCTCTCTCTCTCTCTCTCTCTCTCTCTCTCTCTCTCT